TCTCCTCCACGCTAAGCTGCAACGCACAGACCAACAGACAACAAAGGTCCCCGTGTAGCCTCCACAGCCACTCACTCATCTACCCACTCACTCACTCAGCTACTCACTCACTCATCTCCTCACTCATGTATTCACTAACTCACTCATCTACCAGCAACTCGCTCGCTCACTCACTCACTTACTCACTCACTCACGCCATCTACTCACCCACTCACTCATCTACCACCCACTCACTCATCTACTCACCACTCACATCGCTCGCTCACACCACTCATCTCCCCATTCATCTACCCACTCATCTAACCACTATCACTCATCTACTCACTCATATCTCACTCACCTCTACTCACTCATCTACTCACTCATTCACTCACTCATCTACTCACTCATTCACTCACTCATCTACTCACTCACTCACTCATCTACTCACTCACTCACCTACCCACTCCTCTACCCACCCACCCACCCACTCACTCTCCTCCATGCTGAGCTGCAATGCAATTCTACACCAATCCACCCACTCACCCACCCACTTATCCACCCACTCACTCACTCACCCACTCATCTACTCAATCACTACCCACCCACTCACACATCTACTCACTAATTCATCAACCCACTCACTCATCTACTCAATCATTCACCCAGTCACTCATCCACCCACCCACTCACTCATCTACCCACCGACTCACTCATCTACTCACCCACCCACTCACACATCTACTCACCCACTCACTCATCTACTAACTCACCCATCTACTCACCCACTCACTCATCTACTCACCCACTAACTCACTCATCTACTCACCCACTAACTCACTCATCTACTAACTCACTCATCTACTCACCCACTAACTCACTCATCTACTCACCACTCACTCATCTACTAACTCACTCATCTACTCACCCAATCCCTCATCTACCCGCTCATGTACCCACTCACTCACTCAACTACTCACCTACCCACCCACTCATCTACCTACCCACCCACCCACTCACTCACCTACCCTCCCACTCATCTACCCACTCACTCACTCACCTACCCACCCACTCACTCATTTACCCACTCACTCATCTACCCACTAATTCATCAACCCACTCACTCTCCTCCACGCTAAGCTGCAACGCACACACACACAGACACAAAGGTCCCCCGTGTAGCCTCCACAGCCACTCACTCATCTACCCATTCACTCACTCAGCTACTCACCCACTCACTCACTCAGCTACTCACTCACTCATCTCCTCACTCATGTATTCACTCACTCACTCATCTACCCAGCAACTCGCTCGCTCACTCACTCACCTACTCACTCACGCATCTACTCACCCACTCACTCATCTACCCACCCACTCACTCATCTACTCACCACTCACTCGCTCGCTCACCCACTCATCTCCCCATTCATCTACCCACTCATCTAACCACTCACTCATCTACTCACTCATTCACTCACTCATCTACTCACTCATCTACTCACTCATTCACTCACTCATCTACTCACTCATTCACTCACTCATCTACTCACTCATTCACTCACTCATCTACTCACCCACTCACCCACTCACTCACTCTCCTCCACGCTGAGCTGCAACGCACAAAGGTCCCCCGTGTAGCCTCCACAGCCACTCACTAGTCTACCCACTGACTCACTCACCTACTCACTCATCTACTCACTCACTCATCTACTCACCTACTCACTCATCTACTCACTCACTCACCTACCCACTCCTCTACCCACCCACCCACCCACTCACTCTCCTCCATGCTGAGCTGCAATGCAATTCTACACCAATCCACCCACTCACCCACCCACGTATCCACCCACTCACTCACTCACCCACTCATCTACTCAATCACTACCCACCCACTCACACATCTACTCACTAATTCATCAACCCACTCACTCATCTACTCAATCATTCACCCAGTCACTCATCCACCCACCCACTCACTCATCTACCCACCGACTCACTCATCTACTCACCCACCCACTCACACATCTACTCACCCACTCACTCATCTACTAACTCACCCATCTACTCACCCACTCACTCATCTACTCACCCACTAACTCACTCATCTACTCACCCACTAACTCACTCATCTACTAACTCACTCATCTACTCACCCACTAACTCACTCATCTACTCACCACTCACTCATCTACTAACTCACTCATCTACTCACCCACTCACTCATCTACTCACCCACTAACTCACTCATCTACTCACCCAATCACTCATCCACCCACCCACTCACACATCTGGTGGTGGACAATCTGTGTGGTGGTGGACAATCTTTGGTGTCGGTGATGGTGATGGTGGTGGTGATGGTGGTGATGGTGATGATGGTGATGATGATGGTGATGGTGGTGATGGTGATGATGGTGATGATGATGGTGGTGGTGGTGATGGTGATGATGGTGGTGGTGATGGTGATGATGGTGATGATGATGGTGATGGTGGTGATGATGATGGTGGTGGTGGTGATGGTGGTGGTGATGGTGGTGATGATGATGGTGGTGGTGATGGTGATGGTGGTGATGATGATGGTGGTGGTGGTGATGGTGGTGATGATGATGGTGATGATGGTGGTGATGGTGGTGATGGTGGTGATGATGGTGATGGTGGTGATGGTGGTGGTGATGATGGTGGTGATGGTGGTGATGATGGTGATGGTGGTGATGATGGTGATGGTGGTGATGGTGGTGGTGATGATGGTGGTGATGGTGATGATGGTGGTGGTGATGATGGTGGTGATGGTGGTGATGATGGTGATGGTGGTGATGGTGGTGGTGATGATGGTGGTGATGGTGATGATGGTGGTGGTGATGATGGTGGTGATGGTGGTGATGATGGTGATGATGGTGGTGATGGTGGTGATGGTGGTGATGTGATGATGGTGGTGATGGTGATGATGGTGATGATGGTGATGGTGATGATGGTGGTGATGGTGGTGATGGTGGTGATGGTGGTGATGATGATGGTGGTGATGATGGTGATGGTGGTGATGATGGTGGTGATGGTGGTGGTGATGATGGTGGTGATGGTGGTGATGATGGTGATGATGGTGGTGATGATGATGGTGATGGTGGTGGTGGTGATGATGGTGGTGGTGGTGGTGGTGATGATGGTGGTGGTGATGGTGGTGGTGGTGGAGCTGGTGGTGGTGATGATGGTGGTGGTGGAGCTGGTGGTGGTGATGATGGTGGTGGTGATGATGGTGGTGATGGTGGTGATGGTGGTGATGGTGGAGCTGGTGGTGGAGCTGGAGGTGGAGCTGGTGGTGGAGCTGGAGGTGGAGCTGGTGGTGGAGCTGGAGGTGGACACCTCTCGTAGCTCCGTAGCCACGTAGTGCTGCAGGTCCTTGGCTGCCCGTGCCCTCGAGTCCTCGCTGCGACTACGCAGGCCCTGCATGAACTGCTGCATCATGGCCGACGTTCCTGACATGGTGGTGGGTTGGTGGTGGTGGGGGGGGTTGGTGGTGGTGGTGGGTGGTGGCCCCCGCGCCTGCTGGGCACACGTGGGTGGTGGGCGGGTGAGTGGGGTGGGCAGTGGGTGGGTGGGTGAGTGGGGTGGTGGGTGGGTCAGTGGGGTGGACAAGTGGGTGGGTGAGTGGGGTGGTGGGTGGATGAGTGGGGTGGTGGGTGGGTGAGTGGGGTGGTGGGTGGACGAGTGGGTGGGGTGGTGGGTGGGTGGGTGAGTAGGGTGGGGTGGGTGGGTGGGTGGGTGGAGTAGGCAGAGGGGTGAAGGGTGGGTGGTGGGTGAGTGGCGAGGTGAGTGGGTGGTGTGGTGGTGGTGGTGTAGATTGTGGTGGTATAAATGTTTTTGGTGGTAGTGGTATGAATGGTGGTGGTGATAGTGGTGGCGGTGGGTGGTAGCGGTGATAGTGGTGGCAGTGATGATAGTGGTGGTGGTAGTGTTGGTGGTTGTTATGATGGTGATAATATTGGTGGTGATAGTGGTAAGAGTTGTGATGATAGTGGTTGGAATTATGATGATGTTGATAATAGTGGTGGTGATCGTGGTAATGGTGGTGATGGTGATGTTGGGTGTGGTTGTGGTGACGATGATGGTGATGTTGGAGAGGAAATGTAGGCGGTGTTTGCGATGAAGGTGGTGATGGGTGTGATTGTGGTGACGATAATGGCAAAACATCACAAACAACAACAAAATCAACAAATCAGACATGCCAACAATTACACAACGGTATTATGGACAGTCTTCAACATATCTCCACGCATCTCTGTGTCTCTAATGTATCTCCCCGTGTATATACGCGCATCTCAGCATCCCCTAAGTATCTCGGAGACTGTGCATCTCCTCGCCGCGTATTAAATGCACCCCCCCCCCCCACCACCACCACAAGCACGGAATCATAATCTTGTGTTCAGACCGCAGGGGGAGGGAATCCGGTGAGCTACGGAAGCTCTCCGTATTATCGCAGATCCTCCAGCGATGGGCACGGGGGGTGAGAAGGTTTCCAGCAACGACAAACGCACGGTGCAGACACAAACACGCGATGGGAGCGCAAAACAGAGCCAAAGTGTACTAATAGGGGTTTTTCCCCTTTTTTTCTGGCAACAAAACTGACACCTTTTTACAAGGAATCATGTTTACATTAACCACTATACTTGAAGTCAAATGCAAACAAAAAACACAACTCTGATATGATAATTGTTTTTTTACCCTTCTATCTGGCAACAAAACTGACACCTTTTTACAAGGAGTCATGTTTGCATAGACCACAATACCTGCGGTCATAATGCAAACAAAAAACACACAACTCTGATAATGTATGCACTGTCCTTGAAATTGATTGGTCCACACCCGAGACAGCTTTCCTTAGAGCCTAGTCTCACATGGGTTGGACCAGATGATGTCAAAAGGCGCACAACTCAAAGACAATGCACCATCAGAGTATGAGAGCTCGGGGTGAAGCATTTACACCATTGGAACCTCATTTGCCAGTAAAAAATATAATAATTGGTTTTTTACCCTTCTATCTGGCAACAAAACTGACACCTTTTTACAAGGAGTCATGTTTGCATAGACCACAATACCTGCAGTCATAATACAAACAAAAGACATAACTCTGATAATGTGCACTGTCCTTGAAGTTGATTGGTCCACACCCGAGACAGCTTTCCTTAGAGCCTAGTCTCACATGGGTTGGACCAGATGACGCCAAAAGGCGCACAACTCAAAGACAATGCACCATCAGAGTATGAGAGCTCGGGGTGAAGCATTTACACCATTGGAACCTCATTTGCCAGTAAAAAATATGATAATTGTTTTTTTACCCTTCTATCTGGCAACAAAACTGACACCTTTTGCAAGGAATCATGCTTACATTAACCACAATACTTGCAGTCAAATGCAAACAAAAAACAAAACTCTGATAATTTATGCACTGTCCTTGAAGCTGATTGGTCCACACCAGAGACAGCTTTCTTTAGAGCCTAGTCTCATATTGGTGTTCGACCAGATGACGCCAAAAGGCGCGCAGTTCAAAGACAACGCACCATCAGAGTATGAGAGCTCGGGGTGAGCAGCTACATCATGGGACGTCCTTTGCCAGTATATTTTAGTACTGGCAAAGGAGGTTCCATGATGACAGAGCCAAAGTGTTAGCAAGTCACTAACTGGAACCAATTGACACGTTAATTGATAAGACAAGTCCGATATTTGATGCTCGGGCAAAGGCAGCAAAAATCAACAATACAATCGTAGGCCAAACTAAATTGTGTTTTTCATTTCACCAGCTAATGCCCCACTGCGCTACAGTGTATCTCTCTTTGTCACAAGCGACCTGGTCATCTCAAACCAGAGGTCGCAAACGGGTTTTGATTCCTTACCCGTACCCGTACCCGGCCGCACCAGGGTCGCAAACGGGTACCCGTACCGGTACCCTACCCGTACCCGGCCGGGTACGGGTAGGGTACGGGTATGGGTAGGGTACGGGTATCGGGTACCCGATTGCGACCTCTGGGATGAAGCCATGTTGCAGGCGCGGGTGGGTTGATTCTAGGAACTTGAATTGTGAGAAGAGACAAGACGTTGGGAAATGAGTGACAAACAGTGACTCACCAGTGACTCACGGCCTACCCGTACCCGTGCACAGGGTCGCAAACGGCTACCCGTACCCGTACCCGGCCGTGTACGGGTAGCCGGGTATCGGGTAGGGTACGGGTATCGGGTACCCGGTTGCAACCTCTGTCTCAAACTAAACTAGCTAGCAAAATGTATATTTGGAGTTTGCTTGTGACAAGATGCTAACTACCTCGCCTGGTACACAGGAGGTCGTGGGTTCCATCCCGACCCTGACGATGCCTGCTGCTGTTGTATATTTGGAGTTTGCGTGCCTCTCTCCCCGTGGTGGTCACTGCATGGATTTATTTTTTCCCAGGTCCTCCGGTTTTCCCTCGAACATTTAGAAACATGCACTGAGGTTGTTTGGAGTGGGTGGGCGAGTGGGGTGAGTGGGTGAGTGGGTGGATGGGTGAGTGGGTGAGTGGGTGAGTGAGTGGGTTGGTGGGTGAGTGGGTTGGCGGGTGAGTGGGTTGGTGGGTGAGTGAGTGGATGGGTGAGTGAGCGGGTGAATGAGTGGGTTGGTGGGTGAGTGAGTGGGTGGGTGAGTGGGTTAGTGGGTGAGTGAGTGAGTGGGTTGGTGGGTGAGTGGGTGAGCAGGTGAGCGGGTGAGCGAGTGAATGGGTGAGTGAGTTGGTGGGTGAGTGAGTGAGTTGGTGGGTGAGTGGGTTGGTGGGTGAGTAAGTGAGTGAGTGGGTTGGTGGGTGAGTGGGTTGGTGGGTGAGTGAGTGGATGGGTGAGTGAGCGGGTGAATGAGTGGGTTGGTGGGTGAGTGAGTGGGTGGGTGAGTGGGTTAGTGGGTGAGTGAGTGAGTGGGTTGGTGGGTGAGTGGGTGGGTGAGTGGGTGAGTGGGTGAGTGAGTGGGTGGGTGGGTGAGTGAGTGGGTTGGTGGGTGAGTGAGTGGGTTGGTGGGTGAGTGGGTTGGTGGGTGAGTGAGTGGGTTGGTGGGTGAGTGGGTGGTTTGTGGGTGAGTGAGTGGGTGAGTGAGTGAGTGGGTTGGTGGGTGAGTGAGTGGGTTGGTGGGTGAGTGGGTGGGTTGGTGGGTGAGTGAGTGAGTGGGTGGTGGGTGAGTGGGTTGGTGGGTGAGTGGGTGAGTGAGTGGGTGGGTTGGTGGGTGAGTGAGTGGGTTGGTGGGTGAGTGGGTTTGGTGGGTGAGTGAGTGGGTTGGTGGGTGAGTGAGTGGGTTGGTGAGTGAGGTGGTGGTGAGTGAGTGGGTTGGTGGAGTGAGTGAGTGGTTGGTGAGTGAGTGGGTTGGTGAGTGAGTGAGTGGGTTGGTGGGTGAGTGAGTGGGTTGGTGGGTGAGTGAGTGGGTTGGTGGGTGAGTGAGTGGGTTGGTGGGTGAGTGAGTGAGTTGGTGGGTGAGTGAGTGGGTTGGTGAGTGAGTGGGTTGGTGGGTGAGTGAGTGGGTTGGTGGGTGAGTGGGTGGGTTGGTGGGTGAGTGAGTGAGTGGGTTGGCGGGTGAGTGAGTGGGTTGGCGGGTGAGTGAGTGGGTTGGTGAGTGAGTGAGTGGGTTGGTGGGTGAGTATGAATACGTGAATGCATCTGTGCGTGTGTTTACGGTGTTTGTCGTCAAGTTCTGACCGTGTGCCCCTACTGGACACCTGGTGAACGAAGAGCTTCATAGCTCATCGGATTCCGCCTGCAGTAACAAATATTATGATTTCGATTCCTGTACAGCGGGCGAGGAAATTAACATCTCCTCGCAAATCGTGGTCACCACACGAAGATAAAACAACATTAGCATTGAACCATCAATGTAGCAGCAGCAGCACAGCCTACAGGGATCCCCTATTAGATGCCAACTGCTTACAGATCTCTCGTACCAGGCTACGTGCATCTCTCTCTCTCAGTAAAACGCTGAGGTAAATTTTTTAAATATTTCTTTAAATATTTCTTTAAATCTTACATCAACTTGAATTTGGCACGACAGCGGGTATTGCGTCGAGATAAACACAATTTCCGTAACTCTGCCGTGTAAAGGGTTATAATCTTAATTTTAAGGACCTCCACCGGGCCGCACCGAAGCCTACGGCCTTGCCTAGTTGCCCCGGCCGACGCGAGCCGCGCCTCGGCCGGCAGAAGCCTGTAGGCCGGACCCCCCCCCCCCCCCCCCCCGCTCCTTCACGGGAAATTTTTTAATATTTTTCTTATTTTTCTCTAACCGGCGCGCATTTGTGTGTTGAAGCTTCGCAACTCTCGTGCATCGCGATTATTTATTTTACCTTCAGTTCAGCTCGAGAGAGAGAGACGGGGGGGCCGAGAGAAAAGTTGCCAAAGTCGTCGAAGCGCTCAGCAAGTCCGCGCCGATTTCATCTTTTTAGAACAATCAGCTGACAACCCGCGGGAACCGGATCCCTATCTTCTAACATGGGCCCATGTTAGGAGATAGGGAACCGGTTCCCATAGAAAGTCTATGGAGCCATGTTAAAATATACGGAACCGGTTCCCTATCTACTAACATGGGCCCATGTTAGGAGATAGGGAACCGGTTCCCATTAGAAGTCTATGGGGCAATGTTAAAAGATACGGAACCGGTTCCCTATCTACTAACATGGGCCCATGTTAAGAGATAGGGAACCGGTTCCCATAGAAAGTCTATGGGGCCATGTTAAAAGATACGGAACCGGTTCCCTATCTACTAACATGGGCCCATGTTAAGCAATATGGAACCGGTTCCCATAGGAAGTCTATGGGCCCATGTTAAAAGATACGGAACCGGTTCCCTATCTCTTAACATGGGCCCATGTTAAGAGATAGGGGACCGGTTCCCATAGAAAGTCAATGGGACAATGTTAAGAGATAGGGAACCGGTTCCCATAGGAAGTCTATGGGGCAATGTTAAGAGATAGGGAACCGGTTCCCATAGAAAGTCTATGGGGCATGTTAAGAGATAGGGAACCGGTTCCCATAGGAAGTCTATGGGGCAATGTTAAGAGATAGGGAACCGGTTCCCATAGGAAGTCAATGGGGCAATGTTAAGAGATAGGGAACCGGTTCCCATAGGAAGTCAATGGGGCAATGTTAATAGATAGGGAACCGGTTCCCATAGGAAGTCTATGGGGCAATGTTAAGAGATTTTACCATAAAAAGTCCATGGGCTAAATATACATGTCCACTACTTCCCTCAACCTCCCTCCCGATCTGGCCATAGTAATGTGGAATTTCCCAGCAGCTGGCTCAGTAGGGCTGTGAAAAAATGACAATCGTTGTCGATGTTGTCAAAACATAAATCTGTGGCAAAACGATCAGCAAAATCTGTAAATACGAGAGGAATCCTGAGTAAAGATTGGAAAAACTCTGGAAATATCAGAGAAATGTGGAGAAGACCTAGAAATCTGGAGGAAAATCTGAGAAATCTGAAAACAATTAGAGAAATCTGGGGCAAAATCGGTTGCTAAATCTGTTGAAATGATGAAAATTTAAGAAATCTGTAAAAAAAATCTGAGAATTCTGGAAATATTCGAAAAATGTGGAGACATTTTGGAGATCTATGGACAAATCGGGAGGAAAATCTGAGAAACCTGTGACATTTGTTGAGAAGTCTGGAAACCAACGACATCTGTAAATATGAGAGAAATATGATAATTGTTTTTTTACCCTTCTATCTGGCAACAAAACTGACACCTTTTTACAAGGAGTCATGTTTGCATAGACCGCAATACCTGCAGTCATAAATACAAACAAAAGACATAACTCTGATAATGTGCACTGTCCTTGAAGTTGATTGGTCCACACCCGAGACAACTTCAAGGACAGTGCACATTATCAGAGTTATGTCTTTTGTTTGTATTTACGACTGCAGGTATTGCGGTCTATGCAAACATGACTCCTTGTAAAAAGGTGTCAGTTTTGTTGCCAGATAGAAGGGTAAAGAACCAATTATCATATTTTTACTGGCAAATGAGTTCCCCATAATGAGAGAAATATGTGGAAAAATCTAAGAAATCTGTGGAAAAATCGGCGAAATTTGTCGTAAAAATCTAAGAAATTAGGAAAATCTGAGAAATGTTTTTCTTAATCGTAGAAGTGTGGAGGGAAATCGGGGAAATCTGAGTCACATCGCTCAGTGAGGCCTTATCTGCTCACATAAAAAGAATACTTTAGTTTGTGATGACCAGTTCGCTTGTGAAAAAGAGCTACACAGCATACAAATATATCAGGTGTGAAATCTACAGCAAGAAAATTTTAAACATTTTCAAAAGAAAAATAATTTTTCAAATTTTTGTGAAATCTATAGCAAGAAAATTTGAAACATTTTCAAAAGAAATTTTTTTTTTCAAATTTTTGTGAAATCTACAGCAAGAGAATTTGAAACATTTCAAAATAAAAAATGTTTTTCAAAATTTTGTGAAATCTACAGCAAGAAAATTTGAAACATTTTCAAAAGAAAAATTAGTTTTCAAATTTTTGTTAAATCTACAGCAAGAAAATTTGAAACATTTTCAAAAGAAAAATAACTTTACAAATTTTCTTGCTGTGGATTTCACACCTGATGATGATGATGATTGCTTGTGTTGCAGTCGAAACGTCGTGATAATTTTATCGTTTTATATTTTAATTATTTTATTGCTTCCCTTCTACGTGACTTTACCGAAAGAACCAACAATAGGAATCCCTACAGTCTCGAAAGCTTTAAATCTAAATATATTTTAGTTTGTGATGACCAGGTTATGTCTGAATAAACTTCTTTAAAACATTTCTTTTTTTAAACAACTCTTTTATTCACAACTTCGTTGAACTCACTGTCGAGAAGTACATCAATGATGTGGTGCCTGTTCCCACATGAACGCTTACTTGAAGTAATTGGTTATTTTTAAATCCTTTGTATTAAGCTCGCTTGCTTGTGTAATGTAGGAATTTGGGCGGGAGACGACTTGACGGGTCATATTCTATTATTTAATTTAATTTATTATTTTATCTTCAGACGTGACTTAACCGAAAGAACCAAATTATAATGACTTGACGGGTAGCACACTTTTATTAACACCAATTTCATCAACACGTGTGGCCAACTGTAGCCTACGCTACACGGTTCCCCCGGCTACACACACACGGGCTCTCCCGCCCCGTAGCTTCCAGGGAACCCACCCCGGCTGGGTCTGGGTCCTGACCACTGGGTCCCACAGCCTCGCCCTCACAAGGACGTCAGGCCCCGGGTCCCACAGCCTCGCCTCTGAGCC